TTTTTCTAAAAAAAATTAAATTTATGATTTTTTTAAGGACTACTAGGATACTAATACGATACAAAAGATTCAAATCTCTTCAATGGAGTAATTGTAGTGCTTGAAAATTTTATAGTAGTGAAATATTTACTCAATAATAAAAGACAATATAATTATATGAATCAATGAAAACTTATAAAAAATTAAAATACTACTTAATTTCTGCTCTCGAGTGGGGATGGTAACCAAAGCAGTGGGAGTCGATATTTTTGAAATCACATTTTATGTATTTTGTTTGAAAGGAGGACGGCAGTGTGGAAGTTGGTAAACAAATATTTGAACAAATGTGGGGTCGACACATGGCACCAATGAGGTGTGAACAATGCAATGGGTTGGCAGGAACGGGCTTAGTGGGCCGAAGCAGCCTTACAAGTTGTAATCCCAATGCTTATAGTGAGCCTTGTGGGGGTCCAGTTGGAAGGAGTGGGTGACAACTTGGCTCATCCACTGTGCTCATCCCAGTCAGCACTCTTCCCTGCCACATAAGCAAATCAAACATTTAAGGGTGTGCAGCCAATAAATTTAATTTTTAAATTTTTTTATTTTAAAAGTTCAGGCATTGAAATACTTTATCCATAAAGACAAGCTCTCATACTACCCATATATATATATATATATATATCATTTCCCAAATCAAACCCTAATAACAACTATCTCTCTCTCCCTCCCTTTTATTACCACCATCATCCTCATCTTTAACACTACCATCATCTTCTTCTTCTCACCGCCATCATCATCGTCTTCAACACCACCACCACTATCGTCTTCTTCTCCACCGCCCTTTTCTGGCACCATCAGCAACCTCGCGGCTCTCCTTAAGCCATCGTTGCCAAAGACTACACCACCACCAATCCAGATCTCAGATCTCACCGATCCTCAAGTCTTGAGCTTGTTGAGCTCTTCTTCGAAAAACCCTAATTCTTTCTCCTCCACACCCTTGGTTTCCAATTCAAGTAAACTCTAACTCGCCTAAATCACCTCCATCCTCAGGCCTGATCTTACTCACTTCGAAACCCTACGAAGAAAACTTGCTGATATCAGCATGTTTTGATATGTTGGAGGAGATCGAGAGATTGGGAATTAATTAGGACTAGACATAGGGTTATTCGAACTGCACAACCCGCCCAACCCGAACCAATCCGCATACAAATGAGTGGTTTTGCAGGTACAATGTGGGTGGATGCGGTTTTGAAATATGACATTATTGTGAGTTACGATTTTATCCGCACCTGCAAGAACCCGCCCGCACTTAGACTTTTTATTTTTTATTTTTAAAAACCTAGACCATTGATTTTTTAGGTAAGTTTAGGATTTTGAATAATTTTACTTTAATTGTATTATTGGATAGTGAATGATTTTAATGATTTAGTTTAAGATTTTGAAAGATGTGCTTGTGTTAGTTTATGATTTTATTTAAAAGTTTATGATTTTCAATGATTTGCTTGTATTATGAATTGATTTTGTTGTGTTTTTAATTTTATAAGTTTTAATTCATTAATTATTAATGTTGAGCATTTTAGAAAATGCGGAAAAAATGGCCCAAAATAAATATTTACAAAATGGGAACCCTATCTGCACATCCGCGAATCTTATCTACACAAACTGCAACCCACACTACGGGTAGTTGTGGGTTCAATTTTCCCTAAACTACACATATGCGGGCTCGTCCAAACCGCAAATCGAATCGTCCAAAACCGAACTGCGAGAACCCCTAGAATTAACCCATATACAACGGTGGTGGCTCCAACAGTGGTTGCCGGAGTCCCAAACAAGAGTATATTTGGGGTTAGGTTGGGGGAGGCAAGTCCAAACCCCCTCTCTCTTCTCTCTCTAACCCTTCTATTTTCCATTGTTTCAGATTGATTGTTCAGAGGAAGATTACTTGGTTATTGTAATGGTTTATTGTATTATCAATGCTGTCGAAGAAGTCAGATCTGTTGCTGTTGTTATTGTTGTTGACAATTGATCTATTTTTTTGGTTATTTGGGTTTGAAATAGATAGATCTGTGTTTGAACATACATATCTTCTATTGTTGTTGACATTTGTTTTTTATTTTTTATTTTTAGTTTTTTGGGTTTTAAACAAATCTATACCAGAGAATAAACAAAAAATAAAAAGTTGAACAAATCTGTAATAGAGAATAAATAATGTCTTGGTTTATTTCAATAACAAAAATTTGAACAGATAAAAAATCAACAAATACAATTCAGAAAAAAAAATTAAACAGATAATAAAATTTGGATAGATAAAAATTGAACATATAAAAAATTTAGATAGATATCAAAAATAACTTTGTGAATTTTCAACAGATAGAAAAAATGGCCTTCAAATATGTGTTTGAACAAATAAGGGGAAACAATTGAACTGGTAGCTAAAAAATTTGAACATATAGATATAAATTTGAATAGATAGGTAACAAAAAGTCAACAAATAATTAAAAAAAAATCAATAGATAGACAAAAGGTAAAATTAGAAACATAATATCCTCCAAAACTAACAAAATGACTTCTTACCAAACTATTTCACAAAAGGGGATTTGGTCAAAGCCCCCTTATAATAAAACTTTAATGCACTAAGGACAAGCACTTTTAAAAGTCTAGCACATACCATTATTATTAAAATATTAAACTTTAAAATAGCATAATTTTTTATGTAAATGTCAGTTTGTAATAAAATTAGCATTTTTAAAATTCCCTCATCAAGATCTATCAAATAAAATCCATATTGACTATGAATTCTTTATAAAAAAAATTTATTACCGTCGAAATTGATGTAAACCGTAATAATAATATGTTACCTTATTTGACAGTAACATGTTACTTTATCTTACAGTAATATATTACTCTGATTCACAGTAACATGTTACTCTGACAATATTTTTCAAAAAAAAAAAAAAAAGAAGATGTTTTATTTTATTCTTACTACATTATGTATTTTCTTCTTAGGGGGTTTATTAAGCAAAATAAATTGAGCTGTCCTTTTCACCAAACAACGGTTCAATAGAGGGGTTTTGATTAAATTTTCATTTAACAAATGGTGGACCTTTCATCAAGAAAAAGTATCCATAGGATCTAATACCTTATACCCTCCTTAGATTAGACCTTTCAACAATTTTCTCAACATTTAAAGTATTTTGTTTTTTACACTGTTATGCTTCCAATAGGCTCTTTAATCTTCATAACACCATTAGTACAGTTCTGCTAGAATCACAATGAGAATGACTAGGGGTGTAAATTTAGCTCAACCTTGCTTGACCCATGTCGGGCCGCAAAGGCTCCTATCAAAATTTACGTCAGGTTAGCCATGGGCCAAAAAATTAGGCCCAGGTCAAGGGGGTATTCGACCCTCGGGCGGGCCTGCACATTTTTATTATTATTTTTTATTTTTTTCACCAAAATTTTATTCTTTTCTATCAAAAATGACATTGGGCCTCAAGTTGAATTTTGAGTGGGCCTTGAGCGAACTGACAAGCCGACAGGTCATGCTCCAAAACACACAGCCCAAGCCCAAGCCCAGGGTCTCGGGCTTGGGCTTAGTTAGATTGGGCCCTCCAGGATCACGGGAGGGCTTCGGACAGCCCACAGGCCATTTTTACACTCACATGTCACTCTCACCATTTCCTAATTTCTCTTTTAATTCTCTTTTGTTGGTCTATGATTATTTAGTAATTTTCTCAAGTAAGCAATATATTCCTATACCCCTTTCATATGGGTAATACTATATAAAAAAAAATATAAAAAATTACATATTGATTAATTTAATGAAAAATTTAGCCAAAATCCTTCCATTGAACCTTTATTTGATGAAAAAAAACAGTCCAATTTATTTTGCTTCAAAAATCCCCTAAGGAGAAAACACATAATTGGGTAAGGACAAAGTAAAATATTTTTTTTTCTCAGACAATATTGCTAGGGTAACATGTTAACATGTTACTATTACTGTTTACATTAGTTTCGATGGTAATAATTTATTTTTTTTTTAAGAATTTCATAATCGACATGGATCTTATTTGATAGATCTTGATGGGAGGATTCTAAAATACTGTGTGTTTGGTTTGAGTTTTTTGGATAAAGTTTTTTAAAAACTGAGTTTTTTGTTTTTCATGTTTTTTTGTTTTTAGTGAATATTTTTAAAATTTTAAACATTTTTTTTTTTACTTTTTTAGATGCACCTTACTTAGATGTATATAAAAAGTAAACAAATTGTGAAAAAATATTTTAAAAAATTAATAAATACATAAAAATACGAAAAATATACTAAATTCTAATTATTATTATTTTTTTGTATTTTTAGTATTTAGTGAGAATTTTTAAAAAAATTTGTTCACAAAAAGTATACTTTTATGTGTATTTATGTTAGGTGTGTCTAAAAATTAAAAAAAAAAACTTAAAATATTAAAAAAATTCTGTAAAAAAAAAAATGAAAAACAATAAAATATAATTTTTTGAAAAGTGTTTTTGAAAAACCAAAAACAAGCAAAGTGACTAATTTTTTTAAAAATCGACATCTACATGAAAAGTTATATTATTTTAAAATTTAATATTTTAATAATAATGATATGTGTTAAATTTTTCAAAATTTTTTTTATACTTAGAATTTTATGAGTTTTGATCAAATGCTCTGTTAACCTCGCCCTCTTCATTTTTTTTAAACATAGCAGTATATAATGATTAAATACAAAATAAAATAATAGAGGGCAGTCTTTGGTTTATGATCAGAAACTGGTGATATTATATGTATTAATTAATATATAAATATTAATTATAATATTATTATTAATCTCACTTATTATATAAAATTATAAATATAAAAAATATCTTAAATTATATCACATCATTAATTAATACACAAATTAATACATAAACTCTCAAATCACATGCAACCTCACGTCAAACTCATGCCAACACCCCTATTTAAGGCCCCCGCATCCCTCCTCTCCCTCCAGCACAAACTCCAATTGTCTTCTCTCACTAAAACATTCGGCAACCTCTCTATCTATACTTTTCTCCACCTAGTTCAAACTCCACTTTCTCAATACTCATTTCCAATCCAAACAAAAAAACACTTGCAACTTTCACTTACACTTGAGTTGGTTTTTATTTCATTTTTTATAACCGAGTGTCAAGCCAGAAGTTAGTCTTTCCTTCTCTATAAATTCTTGCAAAAATGTTTAACTTTTCTGGCGACGGTGGCGACTTCTTTTCCCGTCGATGTGTCTGGGTTAACGGGCCGGTCATAGTCGGAGCGGGCCCGTCCGGGCTCGCCGTTGGAGCTTGCTTGAGGGAAGAAGGAGTGCCCTTTGTAGTCCTCGAAAAAGCAGATTGCATTGCTTCTCTCTGGCAAAAAAGGACTTATGATCGCCTCAAGCTTCACCTCCCAAAGCAGTTTTGCCAGCTCCCCAAATACCCATTCCCTGATCACTTCCCAGAGTACCCAACCAAGAAACAATTCATAGACTACCTCGAATCATACGCCAAGAAATTCGACATTAACCCACAATTCAACGAGTGTGTTCAATCGGCTAAGTACGATGAGGCCTGTGGGTTGTGGCGAGTCAAGACGGTTTCTATCTCTGGGTCCGAGGTCGAGTACATTTGCCAGTGGCTCGTGGTGGCCACCGGAGAGAATGCAGAGTGTGTCGTGCCGGAGATTGAAGGGTTGAAAGAATTTGCCGGCGAAGTTTTACATGCTTGTGAGTACAAGTCCGGTGAAAAGTTCACCGGAAAGCGAGTTCTTGTTGTGGGTTGTGGGAATTCCGGCATGGAAGTCTCTCTTGATCTCTGCAACCACAATGCCAAACCATCCATGGTTGTTCGAAGCTCGGTAAGTCATCATTACATTATTACCCTTTTCTTAGTCAATAATTTATAATCAACCACAATCACAAAAATTTCAGTTGAATCAATGCTAATGGTGTTTTTTTTTTCTTTTTTCCCCCCCCAATTTGTGATATTACAGGTTCATGTACTGCCAAGAGAATTTTTTGGGACTTCGACGTTCGAATTGGCGATATTGATGATGAAGTGGTTGCCCCTTTGGCTAGTAGACAAGATTTTGTTGATTTTGGCACGGTTGATTCTGGGAAATACAGAGAAATATGGGCTAAAAAGGCCATCAGTTGGACCAATGGAGCTCAAGAACACTCAAGGGAAGACCCCTGTTCTTGACATTGGTGCACTGCAAAAGATCCGAGCCGGTAACGTTAAGGTTGTTCCTGGAATCAAGAGGTTCTCATGCGACATGGTCGAACTCGTTAATGGTGAAAAGCTCGAAATCGATTCGGTTGTTCTTGCCACTGGGTACCGCAGCAATGTCCCTTACTGGCTACAGGTGAGAAAAATGCTCCATTCCCTTTGTTTTTGGATTTTATTGACATTTTTGGTAATAAATAAAGAAATGTTAACGTACCTAGAAAAGTGCTATTTATAATGAATCTGGGCTCACACCTTTCAAAAAAAATTTAAAAAATTTATGGGTACCTAACATTACTGCCTATTTTACTGTTTTTAGAAGGTTAGTTTAAACTGACCTTGTTTTGAATTGACTGTGTTCAGGAAACAGAGTTTTTCTCCAACAATGGATTCCCAACAGGGTGGAAAGGAAAGGCTGGGCTCTATGCTGTTGGGTTCACAAGAAAAGGGCTCTCTGGTGCATCCTCAGATGCTATGAGAATATCACAAGACATTGGCAAGGTCTACAAAGAAGATCTGAAACAGAAAAAGCAGAAAGTCCCTTGCCATCGGCGTTGCATTTCGACGTTTTGATGAATCAACCAATTTTGGTGTCTGACTAATCTAATCTGCAACTAATTTCCCTTTTGAATTTTGTGTAGTTTTTTTTTTTTATGGGTAGGAAAAACAGTGACATGTTTGGTGTAAAGATAATAAAAATGTATTAACATACAGAGAAAGAAACAAACAGATAGTAGCATAGAGACTAGCCCTATCCAAAAAGCCCCCAAGTTTTGAGAATGTTAGGGCATTTTGTACACTTGAGGATGATGAGGCTTCTTTTTTCTTCTTTCTTTCTTTTTGTTCAGTTTTGAAGTTTCACTGGGCTTTGTAAAGTTGTTTACTTATCAATTGCAATGAAAAGATTTTCCCCAATCTCTCTCTCTCTATCTCTCTCACCAATTGTTTTGAAATTCCACATATTAATTTGTTATTTTTTACTTAAAACAAAAACTAATTATAAAACATGTGAGAATTGTATCTGATTTTATGATCGATTCTGATATCTCCTTATGATTAAATCAAAATGAGAATGAGGCACTTTTATTCTTTTGAAGTTCAATACATAGTTTATACATCAAGACCAAAAAAATTCAGTATCAAAGATGAAATTAATTAGAGAATGTCCCTTATGTTGAGTAAAAAGAGAAGTTATGGGAGTCTCTCCTCTTTTGCATATCACTTGGATAGATAGAGAAACCAGACTTTAATGAAAGCTGTAATATTCCCTGTAAAAGCATAAATTCAGCTTGAATAATACTAGAATATATATATATATATATATATATTACAAGAGTGACCTGATTAAATGTGTTGCAGAATCTTTTAAATACGTAACTGGTTTTTCTTTCGGCTCTACACATTTTTCTGTTGGGTTATTGGAATGCCACTAAGGGTGTGCCATGGTTGCCGCTAGCTAAGCGCTCAAAATGTATGGTTGGATTTTCATTAATTTAAAAAAAAAAATTAAATTAGTTTGACAAAAATAGATATTTATAAACTTCTACAATTATTTTTTCTTAAAAAAGAAAAATTCATATGAAAATAGTGAGTATTTTTAATTTTTTTATTTGGTTCATCAAACTAATTTTTGAATTTTTTTTAAAAAAAGAAGCAAATAGTGCCTTTCCCCAGACCAATGATGTTAAGTGGATAAAAAAACAATTATAGTAAAATATAGAAAAATCAATGTATGTCCCTACCATACGCATGATGAATGTAAATTAATGTGCGTCCCCCACATACATAAAATGAATTTGGGACACGTAAATTTTTTTGTACACTTATTTTTTGTACTTTTTTGTGAACCTAATGGCTATGATAATTTAGTCATTTTTTGTATTTTTTTTTTATTTTGTAAAAACTCTATTAACTACGAAGAGAAAAAGAAAAACAAAAAAGAGTTCTAGAATTGTGGCCTTCATGACTAACAATCAATTTCCAAAGAATATTAGAATCAAATCAGGTGCAATGCAATCACAATCACTGACCTTGCACTCCACAGTCTCCAAACAGAGCCTGAAGACAAGCCACATGTGTACCATGCTATTTGATCCACAAACATAGAAAAGCCTTTCATTTCAATGGCCCATCAATTCAATTAGTGTCCTTTTTTGTTGGCTTTGGGCTCCTTCAAATGAGTTCTCTATTAACCAAACAGGGCTTTTCTTATTTGGACATCCCCTGCTACTCTCTGTCACCTGACATGCTCAAAGAACTCACATGGTTGGCCACTTTGCTCCTACTTGTCAAGCAATCGGTTTAGCGAAAAATCAAAAAGTTATTAAAAAAATTAAAAAGTCAATAATTCATATTAAAAAGTTAAAAAATTTATTTTCTCTCTACTTTTTTCACATCTTTTCGTAAAAAGTCAAAAAATTATCCCAAACATACTATTTTTTTTTCATCACATTTTAGCCAAAAAACTAAAAAGTTACTAAAAAAACATGTTTCCAAACGAGGCATAAGAATCGACACGATAGTCAACTCGTGACATTCTCCTTCACTCAAACTATCAACATCCTCGTTAATATGACCCACGGCCAACTTGTGGTGTGCCTCCCTCCCATCTCCACCAAGAAAACCGCCTACCACCACCAGTCAAGCATCCCTCCACACTTCCACTTAAGCCAGCAAATGCATCCTATCCAACCAAAGCTCCCTTTGATATTTACAACATGTAAATTTTTAAAAATGGTAAGATATGTCACACATACAAAATATGCGTTTTTATATATTTATTACGTATCGTACATCTGAATAATTTATTTAAATATAATTTAAAAAATGAAATTTTAGTTTACAAGAAAAGAACGTCACATAGTTTAACTATCCCAAGGCAAAGAGGAAAAGGGCAGGGTTCGAGCCAGACTGGTGAGGAGGCTAACAAAAGCCCAAGCTATTGGGCCCAATGCTCTTCTCAAAGCAAAATCCGTTTGACTTCTTAAAAAAGAAAAATTCATATGAAAATAGTGAGTATTTTTAATTTTTTTATTTGGTTCATCAAACTAATTTTTGATTTTTTTTAAAAAAAAGAAGCAAATAGTGCCTTTCCCCAGACCAATGATGTTAAGTGGATAAAAGAACAATTATAGTAAAATATACAGAAAAATCAATGTATGTCCCTACCATACGCATAATGAATGTAAATTAATGTGCGTCCCCCACATGCATAAAATGAATTTGGGACACGCAAATTTTTTTGTACACTTATTTTTTTGTACTTTTTTGTGAACGTAATGGCTATGATGATTTAGTCATTTTTTGTATTTTGTTTTTTATTTTGTAAAAACTCTATTAACTACGAAGAGAAAAAGAAAAACAAAAAAGAGTTCAAGAATTGTGACCTTCATGACTAACAATCAATTTCCAAAGAATTTTAGAATCAAATCAGGTGCAATGCAATCACAATCACTGACCTTGCACTCCACAGTCTCCAAACAGAGCCTGAAGACAAGCCACATGTGTACCATGCTATTTGATCCACAAACATAGAAAAGCCTTTCATTTCAATGGCCCATCAATTCAATTAGTGTCCTTTTTTGTTGGCTTTGGGCTCCTTCAAATGAGTTCTCTATTAACCAAACAGGGCTTTTCTTATTTGGACATCCTCTGCTACTCTCTGTCAACTGACATGCTCAAAGAACTCACATGGTTGGCCACTTTGCTTCCACTTCTCAAGCGATCGGTTTCGCCAAAAATTAAAAAGTCATTAAAAAAAATTAAAAACCTAACAATTCATATCAAAAGTTAAAAAATTCATTCTCTCTCTATTTTTTTCACATATTTTCATAAAAAGTCAAAAAGTTATCCCAGTAGATATGTTTGGTTTGAATTTGGGAGATAAGTTTTAGGGATAAAAAGTACGAAAAGTTATTTGGTTTGGTTTTTTTCAAAAGATGTTTTGAAAAATTATTTTGAGAGAGAGTTTTGGAAAAAGTGATTGATTTGATGTGTATGAGAGAGAGATTTGTTTGGAAAACTTATAAACCAAACAAGTTTTGAGAAATTTTTTTGGAAAAATTTGTTTGGTTTGATTACTTTTGAAAACTTATTTGTAGAGAATTTTTCCCAAAAATTTTTGGAAACACAAACCAAACAACTATTTTTTTTACATCACATTTTAGCCAAAAAATTAAAAAGTTACTAAAAAAGTATGTTTCCAAACGAGGCATAAGAATCGACACGATAGTCAACTCGTGACATTCTCCTTCACTCAAACTATCAACATCCTCGTTAATATGACCCACGGCCAACTTGTGGTGTGCCTCCCTCCCTTCTCCACCAAGAAAACCGCCTACCACCACCAGTCAAGCATCCCTCCACACTTCCACTTAAGCCAGCAAATGCATCCTATCCAACCAAAACTCCCTTTGATATTTACAACATGTAAATTTTAAAAAATGGTAAGATATGTCACACATAAAAATATGTGTTTTTATATATTTATTACGTATCGTACATTTGAATAATTTATTTAAATATAATTTAAAAAATGAAATTTTAGTTTACAAGAAAAGAACGTCACATAGTTTAACTATCCCAAGGCAAAGAGGAAAAGGGCAGGGTTCGAGCCAGACTGGTGAGGAGGCTAACAAAAGCCCAAGCTATTGGGCCCAATGCTCTTCTCAAAGCAAAATCCGTTTGACGTTGGAACTGAACAGATCACCTAGCCATTCAAATTTCATGGTTTTAATTAAAAATTTCACATTTACATGTTAAGATCTATTTGGATTTCACATTTATTCATCTTTTAAAGGGATTTTTGGTGAAAAGTCCCTCTCATTGGGCCTATTTTTGTGTGAAGCCTACAGAATAAAACAATGGCCCCAAAATCCCCTCAATTAAAAAAATATCATGAATTGATTGAAATGCCCTTCTATATAAGTGGGGAAATATGAAACAATTCCACCGTTTCTTTCCCCCCACTCTATTTCATCGATTGAAAACCCTCCTCTGAATATCATCATTCAAAAACCCTAGCATCGATTGAAAACCCTTCTCTGAGTCTCATTACTCTCTCTCTCTCTAGAGCCACTTTGTCTTTCTATCCTTGCAACGTTATAGGTTCGTCGCTTGCGCTCGAATCGAACTCCACATTATGCTTTATTCTCTCTCTTGGACACACATTTTGCAGGTGATTTTTTCTTTTTTCTGCTAGTTTTTCGATATTATGAAGTCTGTTTGGGTTTGTTTTCATTTTGGGAGTGGTGTATGAGATTACGTTGGCATGGTATGGGATGAGATTGTAAGGCTGTTAAGGATTTTGTGTTAAAGGTGGCCGCGACTTATCCTCATTTCGTCTTAACCCTTTGGTAATGTATGTGTTGGATTAGTGCTGCTGAAAAATTATTTATTCGAAATTATTGACATATAAGATTTTGTTTGATTTATAACAAAATGTTATTCTAACAAAATACAGAGGTCAGTGATTTTAATACACATGTTTTTTTCTTTTCTTTTTTTCATTGTTGCATTAGGGTGATGTAGACGTCCCCGAACGCCCCGGGAGGGACGAGCTCTCCCGTTCCGTTTGATATTGGGCTCGCTACAGTTCAGGACTCAAATGTCATGGTTCTAAGTTTGAACCAAAGCGTCCAAATCCGGCAAATCGTTTTGAGAAACAGATTTTTGAAAGAAGTGCCAAGCATAGACTGCTTTGCCAGATACAGAGTCGTCACCTAAATGTTTTGTTTTGGGAAAATTTAGGAAACCCTGACTCGTTTGCCTAAGGCCACGTGTTTGTTATCACCAAAGTTGCCTCGGCTCGGGAACTTGGGTACGATTGGGGAAGGTCACTTTGTGAGCCACCCCGCTCGCCCGATCAAAGATCGGCCTCTACTAACCATGATATCTAGTTTTGAAAACTTTAT